CTTTACTAAGAGTAATATGTTCCACTTCCATCCAGGTTAATACAAAGGCTGTAAAGTCTCCATTTTTTTAAATGGCTGAATAATATTCCATGGTCTACATATACCACAACTTGTTAATCCATTCTTGGGTTGGGGGTGATTCGTATGTCTTTTTGGGTGAAATCTTTTGCCTATTTTTTTGAACGATAAGAGATAGTCTTAAGTGAAATTATGAAAAAAGAAATGAGGCTCAGTGCCTATAGTTCAAGTGGCTAAGGCATCAGCCACTTATAGCAGAGCTGGTGGGTTTGAATCCAGCCTGGGCCTGCCAAACAAAAATGACAACTATGACCAAAAAATAGCTGGGCATTGTGGTGGGTGCCTGTAGTCCCAGCTACTTGGTTGGCTGAGGCAAGAGAATCACTTAAGCCCAGGAATTGGAGGTTGCTGTGAGCTGTGATGCCACAGCACTCTACCCAGGGTGACAGCTTGAGGCTGTCTCAAAAAAAAAAAAAGAATCTGAGTATATGGGTCGTTGATTATTTACCCTCATTGGTGAAATTAAAAAATATTAGTGTAATGATGTAAGGACATTTTATAAATAGATAATTGGATGGTTCTAAAAAGCCTAGGCAAGAAGCAGAAATGGTACCTAGATTGTTGAGTTAGGTGGGGTTTTCTTTCTAGCTGTCTTTTATTTTTACTGTGAAATATAATGTAACTACTAGAAAATGAATTAAAGGTAAACAAGTTAATGAATTACTTGTTAAATTTAATATTTTTTATATAACCACTGCTCACTATTTCTATGAAATGCAAAACTACCCCTGAAATTCTCATGTGCCTTTGCAGTCACAATCTTTGCAGGTGACAACCTTTTAGAAGTAACCACTCCCGGCTTGGTGACTGTAGCTCAGCGCTAGGGCACCAGCCACATACATTGGAGCTGGTGGGTTTGAATCCTTCCTGGGCCTGCCAAATAACAATGACAACTACAACCAAAAAGTAGCTGGGCATAGTGGTGGGCGCCTGTAGTCCCAGCTACTTGGGAGGCTGAGGCAAGAGAATTGCTTAAGCCCAAAGAGTTTGAAGTTGCTGTGAGCTGTGACACCACAGCACTCTACCCAGGGTGACATGGTGAGACTCTGTCTCCAAAAAAAAAAAAAAAAGTAACCACTTCCCTAACTTGTGAGGAAGGTCATAACTTTGTTATTTTTCTTGGATAGTATTGCCATCTAGTTGCCCAAGTATGTATCCCTAAATACTAAGTTTAGGTTTTATTTTGCCTAGTTTTTTTCACTGAGCCATAGGTGCTGCTTGGTCGTTCAGTATTTTAAATTGTGCATTTGTAAAACTCTATAAAGAAAAATCTGATAGTCTGTTAACATTTTGTCACATTTGCTATCTCCCAGTCTCTTTTTGTATGTAGATGAGTATCACATGTATACATGTATAAATACTCATGTGCAAACTTTTTTTGCAGGGGACCATTTCAAAATAAGTTGCAGACATCCTGGTATTTCTCCTCTAAATACTTCAGCCTGCATTTCCCAAGAACTGCGACATCGTCTTACATAATAATAACAAAACACTTTTAAGAAAGTTAACAGTAGGCTTGGTGGCTGTCGCACAGTGGTTATGGCGTCAAACACATGCATTGAAGCTGGTGGGTTCTAATCCAGCCTGGGCCAGCTAAACCACGACAATTGCAACAAAAAAATAGTCGGATGTTGTGGCAGGTGCCTGTAGTCCCAGCTGCTTCAGAGGCTGAGGCAAGAGAATTACTTAAGCCCAAGAGTTTGAGGTTGCTGTGAGCT